TCAGATAGAGTGTCTTTTAGTTTTTGTGGTTTTTCTTTCTTCTCAAAACTGGGTTCAAATCTCAGTTGCTGCTGCCGAAGATTGCAAATACACTAATGATTATTCTTGCATAATCTGCATTCCTGTTTCTAACAAATGAAACAATTATGTTGAATTTTTACCATGCTTATACCCAAATATAACATTTTAATTTTACTTGATTTAAAGAAATAATTTATTAATCAGATTTTTTTCTAGTCTTTCTTATTACAAATGTTAATAAGTCTCTCCCAAGAAAGTTAATTTTAATTATATTTTGTTTCATTTTTAACAGATTTTTCTTTGTTTTTCACAGCAAAATTTATTCCAAGATGCTATTATTTGTTACATAAAGTTGATTTAACATTTTTCTCTATGATATTGTTATTCATAACAAATATATTAAGAAAATTTATTTTTATGAGCAATTTGTTTTTCTTTCTAAAAAGGTATTTAAAAAAATTATGCTGAATTTTAGTTTAGCTTACCATTAAAAACAGAATAGGAGCAAACATTTTATACTACAAAATTAATGAAAAATCATTTATTAAGAATGTTGTTATGTAAAGTTAATGTCATAATTAAATTCAATAAATTTAATCTGATATTTTTAGATATTGTAAACAAGGTGCACAAAATGTTAAATGCTAACCCCCCTGCTGCTAAAGTGTCAATTTCTTAATACTTCTATAATCAAAATATATTTATGACAAAATAGGCCAGAATAACAATAGTTACATTATTTCTAATAAATGAAATAAACGATACTTTCATGTTTATTTTGTTTCATGTCATATTTTTGTTTCCAGAATTCTTAGTTCCAATATGATTTTTGTTTCATCAAAAATGTTTAAACATGGATAATCAATTCAAAGATTTCATACACCTTTATTAATGGGGTGGGGAATGATGAATCCAAAGATCTACCAAATTATATATTAATTGTAAGAAGACCTTAGTCATAAAAGAAAAAAATATACCAAACCAAATTAATTATGCTCTAATTATCTCTTTTCATTGAATTTCATAAACCGACTACCACAAACCCAAAATCAAAATCTTTGTACCCATTGGAACAAGATTTTAGAGAGGCCTCCAGTTCTGGGCAAGAGAAGCACTGTGACTTTGCCTTTAGTTTAAAAAAAAAAAAAAAAAAAAGGCTACGATCTTAAGCATGAAACACTTGTTTTTTTTTTTTTCTGGGATAATTCATATTTTTAAAATCTTACAAGAGTTAATAACCCAGTCATATTGCTTGTTGCTTTAATCTGAAAAAAATAGTTATTAATTCTTTTTCTTTAATTTCAAATGATCAAAAATTAATTCTTTGATCTCAGAACATTTACTTGGATGCATTTGTTTTGAGAAACAGGCTAGAAATCACTTTGATTTTATTCAACCAAAACTGTGTACTCTTCAAAAGCATGAAGCTTATCAGTGGATATTAAATGACTTTTTTCTCTATCGCTATGCAGAGTAAAATTTAAATTTAGAATTTCAAATATATAAGCCAATTGTAAAAAGCAAAATTCATTATGTAACATTACCTAATTTTTATTTTGTAATGTTTATTTTTACTATTTATTATTTTGATGGCACCAATAATATTAAAAATAATTGTTATATTTGCCATCAATCCATTTATATTGACAGTGTATGGAAAAAAATTGCTTAGTTTATTGACTCTGGCACCAAACTATATTGGTAACTCCATGTGCCATGGTTTTGAAGTTCTCGCCAGTAAAATACACTGGCAAGAGACAGTAACTGCAGACAATTTTGACTGACTGAAGGTTTAATCGTCACACGTGACTGAACTACTGTCAGTATATCCAGGATGGTGAGATGGCATTTCTGGGCAGAGAGTTTCCTAAACTGAACAGCCAGGGAGGAGGTTTCTTGCCTGTAGAACTCTCTACTAGATTTTTACTTTCCTGTCAACTATGATCTTCAAAAATTTAAATGCAACATCAATTGTCATCTGTCTCACTGAATCCTGTTTTTTGGGGGTTTTTTTTATTGTTCCCTCTCTGTTTTCTCACTTTCATTCTTAGATGTGACACTGAGATCTCTGGAGGTTGATCAAACAAAAAGTGAAAGAAAGAAAGGAAGCAGAGTCTACTTACTGGATGATAATTGTTGAAATTGCAGGAAGATGGATTGAAAAGTTAAGAAAATTGAAAACAAAATGCATTGAAAAATCAAGGAGAATCAAACCTAAATTTAACTAGATGAAATTTAGTAAAATTGAGCAAACCCAAGACTACCTGTCCTTCTCCACTTCCCACCAATATGAAAGAGACCCATGGTATCGATGAAGATGTGAGATAAAAGAAAAGCATGTTGATAGAGAAATCTGGGTGGTTACTGAAATAACATTCATAATTCCTCTGGATAAGGAAAAAAAAAAATCAAAAATTTCAAATCAGCCACCCAGAAGAAAAGTATTACCATGCGTTCGTCATTATAAAAGTTGGCTGCTGGGAAAGGAAGAGGAGAGTACTTACTCAATAATACTCGTATTTGTTGTATAGTGAATAGAATAGAGAACAGTGGTTTGTATAGTGATAGAGGATAGAGTAGAAATAGTGATTTGTATAGTAATAGAGGATAGAATAGAAATAGCAATCAATTAGATGTCACATAACCTCCTACTTATGCGTTTCCTCTATGGTCATATGGTCTACTTAATTCAATAATGGGATCATTTGTGTTTGCTCACTGGCGATCTATGTTCAAACTCAAGTTTCAGCAATGACACTTTATTCCTATATAGCAGAGAGATTAGTACTGCCTACATAGAGTGAATGTGCAAGATGTAAAGAAAGTTGGAATTAAGGGATAACTTGATCCCTCTGACCATTCTCAAAAGGGGTTGGACAACCCCAAATTTAGAAAAACACCTGAGTAAATGTATTTTTATATATGGAAATTTAGAAAAGGTTGATACTTAGGGTAGAAGACAACCTAACACAGACCCTAGTCAACTGGATGCAAGGTTCCATATAAGCGGGAGATTTTGGACTCAGAAGATCACAAAAGAACAGGAGACAAAACAAGAACAATAGAGAAGAGAAACAGAGAGAGACACACCAGAATCCGCATCATTTGCCGAGACCTTCTGATCAAAGGCCTTGTGCCAGACACGAAGATAAGAACTTAGAAACTTAAGCTACTACTAAAACAAGCTGCAGACTCCGAAGGGTTAGTGTCATTTTATTATAACAAAAAGTGGGAAGGGTTAAAACTGCTGTATACAACAAATCATATATAAACCAAATCATAGTTACATTTTTAACCTGAGTTAATTCTTTATTCCAAAGGATTCTTGCTTTTTTGTGTAGCTCCAAAATTGTCAAACTGTTTTCACTTCAAGTTTGCTTCATCAACAATCTTGTCACCCTCTGAGATCAAAAGCACAACATGGCAGAGGAGTGAATGGTCATGAACAGACAGACGTAGCTAAGTTGAGTGGAATCATGCCACCAACACGATACCCGTGCCAAAATGAGTCAGGTGCTAACAAGGAAAAAGTCAGGTAAATGGTAACTATGGTAGTTTGAAGGAACTTGAGGACCAATAACTGGGTAACATAACTGGTTACCACTGTCTAAGGCCTATGACAGGGTTACATATTTGGTTACTGCTGACTAGGGTCGATACAGTAGTATTACACAGTAACCCCTTGCATCTTAGTAGCTTTATTACCTTGCTTGGTATGAAATGGATAAAGAGAAAAGAGGTTCATAGATATAAGACTCAATACAAAACCCCTTGACCCAACTCCTAAACAGCTTTAAAAAAAAAAAAAAAAAAAAAAAAAAGGATTTTATGTCAAACTAATCCCAGATTTTTGAAAACATGCAATTTAAGAGAAACATACTTTTGATAACATTTATGTCTTGATAATACCATTCATTGTAGTTTGTAACTCTTGATCTATTGATTATAATGTAAAAAAACAAAACAATGAACAGATATTATTTCATTGTTTTGCATGTGCCACAAAAGCTGTTCATTTTTTTTTCCAATCATAGATGGAGTTCCATCTGTACAGATTCCAGCACAATTTTCCCAAGTTTATGAACATCATGTAATGATTCAGAACATTAAAAAAATCTTTTTTCCTCACAATTTTTCATTTATTGCATAATGTTCTATAATGCTTTTTATTTTATTGTTTTGAAAAAGTGAACCAATACAAACAAATTTGCTGTTCCAGTACTATCACATGATTTATCAAACTGTAGACTGTATAATGTGACATTTGTGACTTTTTTTTACATTACTCTCAAAATCTTCATATAAATCTTTAATACATCTGGCATAATTTTTTTAGTATTTTACCTGAAACTGAACAATTTTAATTAGTACTTTTCTACATAGATCTTATAACCTCTAAAAATATTCAGTAGATTTTCCATTAAGGTGCCTTAAACAAAATCATTTTTGAAGTCTAAAAGGAACCATTCTTTCATTTGATAATTTCTCATGCATAATACAGTTTAAAAATTGTTCATTTTGTTCTCTACAACAAATAAAACACATTGCTAAATAATCTGTCCCAGATAGACTTGTCGCTCCTGCATCAAACAAATTTAAGATACACTCACTATTTGTTTCATTCAAATTTATTGGATCTTAAATGTTTTTACTTTTGATAAGAAACTTATATTTTATCAAGATTCTGTGTAAATGTCTATTTTCTTGTAAATGAACAAACAAGCACCACTGTCGTATAGAGCCCGGTTGTAAAGCATTACTATGAATGTGTGTGTGAGACATAATGTAGACATACAATTCATTTCTATAGAAAGATCACAAGCTGCTTGGTAAGTTCTTGGTATTTATTTTGTTTCTCATGATACTGTACACATACAATTGTACTGTTTAATTAATCTGTTGAGTTGCATGAGGTAAGATATAACAAAGCAACATATTACAATATGATTAAATGAGGTAATTAATCAAATTAATAATACCTGACTGTTTTAACCAGAATCTCAATCAGTTCTTGTATTGTGAAGTAATCTTGCTCCTGAGAATTCCTGCGGTATCCCCAAGACTCTTTATCAATTGTCATACAATTCTCCCATTTCCGAGGTTGAATAGTGCCTGCAAGAGAAAGAACAGCCATCAAACACATAGGCTAATCAGTTGGTTCATTGATTGACAATTGTAATTTAATATGGTTCTATTAAATCTTATGTAGAGTACACTAAGAGTTAGTATCTGATGATGGAGATATATATATGTAAACAGACATCATTATTGTACATTTAGAGCCCTTTCAGTCAATGCTTTTTCAAAAGATAATCGTTGGCGATATACAGACACAATCAAGACACATTCATAATAATAACTAATGACAAGTGAAAGTTGGAATGCAATTAAAAAAAAAAAAAAAAAAAAAAGAAATTGGGAAGTTCCAAAAGAGCATAAAATAGAAAAAAAAAAAAAAAAAAAACACTCACAGTCCCTCAATCAAATGTAAGGAATGCATGAAATACTCCTTTTGTTTGCATAGGCTCAGCTGGTAGAATTTAATATACACAGGCTCGAGGTAAACTGAGCAAGCACTATGTAGAATGGAAAAAAAATGTGTCCTCAATCAACAACACAATCAGGATTATCCAGGATTATGCTGCCCAATGAACACGTCATGAACTGCTTGAGTGGTTCTTAAAATATGGCTTTAACAACTTGAATGCAAATCAGCAGGTACATGCCGAGTAATCCACGTTTCCAACCTATGATTGGTTCATCCTATGTACACCACTCTGCGTCATCATTTGAATTTATAAATAACTAAACTTTTCTGAAAATAGGACAAACAATCCTTACTAAAGGAAGGGAACATGGATTTTCTTTAGAAAACAATACGCATCTCAACAGCATTGTAGCATGAAGCAATACAAGCTGAAATTCTGTCAGCAGCTGACACTATCGGGCACTAACTTAGTCCTAGAACTGCTGGTTCCTTAAAGCATCTGATTTTACCATCTATAACATGTTTGATGATATTAGCAGGATATCCATAACTTTCAAAATATTTTTGTATACTAGCAAGTTCTTCATCTAACAAACAAGAACAGATCATCAAAGCACAATGAACCAGGATGGAAATTAGACCAATTTTTCAGGCCTTGGGAAAAAAAGAATTCCAACTTGTGTATAAGCCTGTGAATGTGGGCTTGTGGAAGATGCTGGTATAAAACCCCCATCCTTGTGTTCAACGAGAACATCTAGAAAAGGTAATGTCCTAGTGCTCTCGACCTCCACAGTGAACTGAAGGGATGGATGGAGAGAATTGAGTTCTGCAAAAAATCAGTAGCATTGAAAAGGTGTCATCAACGTACCCCATGTAAACGTAGGGTTTATGGACCTTGTCAAACAAAAGTCACTCATGATAATCTACAAAAATATTGGCCAATATAGGGCCCAAAGGACTACCCATTGCAACACCATTTGTCTGGGCATACATAATATCATTGAAACTGAATTCAACAACTTCAGTCGCGAGATGCATGCATTCTAAAAACAAGATTTTCATGAATGCTAACCAGACCCAAATTACCTCTATAAAGAACATCAGCACATATATTAAGTCTCATGAAGAGGCATATTAGTATACAAGCTAACAATGTCAAAAGACACCATCAGTTTATTTTCAGACTCAATATCTAAATTTCTAATGAAATTTGAAAAACAGAAGGAGTCTGAGATATTGTGTGCTGAGAAGACATTAGATACTGGCTGGAGCCAATTCCTGTTGCACAGATCCCACCATAGATAAGATGGGTCTCAGTGCTACACCAGTCTTATGTACCTTCAGCAGTTCATACATTCTGAGACCCTACATGTCTAATCCTATCATAGATCTCCTTAGAGATTAGGTTGTTCTTGTATATTGAGAGCAACCATCTCTGTGTTCTCACTTCAGTCCTGCTAGTATTGTCACATGTACTAGTAGGACCAATCATCTTAAACTTTGAGGAATCCTTCAAAATATTGGTCATTTTCTCCAAATAATCTTGTCTGTTTAAGATGACAATAGCAGAACCCTTATCAGGCTTAGTAATATAAGCATCATTCCTTGAATTTGAAGATTTTATAGTAACAAATAATAATGAAAAATAATGAGAGATGAAAGAAATAAAAAAAAAAAATAAAAAAATTTAAAACAACTTGTCCAAATCATGTCTAACTTGCTTGCTCGACAGAAAAGGAACTGATTTTTATTTTTAATAACCTTCATCTAATGAAAGACAGGAAAACATTGCAGGATAAAGGTTGACATGAGAAAAGGGATTAACTTTGTGCCATAACTGAACAGAATAAGATTATATATATCTCATTCTGTTCAGTTATGGCACAAGGCTAATTCCTTGAGATTAAAAAGATCTCTTCTCATGTCTTGTTTGTCCTGCACATATGACCTGTGTGTGTGTGTGTGTGTGTGTATTTAAGCAGCAAATTCTTTTTTAGGCATGTCTGATTGAATAATTTACAGACATTATGTCTGCTAATTTTCAACCAAATCTGTTCATACTCACAAACAACCTTCCATGTATTGATATTAAAGGTTGAGAGAAATGTGTTATAGCTGTTTAAATTTCTTTTATTTTCATTTCCCCAAGTACTTTCAATCTTCTTCCAAGACCATCTTCAGGGGGTACAAGTAGTACAAACCTATATGTTGTTCAGGGGTACAAGTATTTATACAAAGCTATGTGTTGCTATCTATTACTGTAATTTTATTATGCTTTTAAATACAAATGGTTGACAATATGCTGAGTGTTTGTTAGAATGTGAAAAAATTATCCATTATGGAATTATTTTCCTCTATGTTATAATGTCATGGTGATGCACACATTAAAGGTCAGGCTAAAAAGGAACAGTTTTCATGCTTTAAATTATCATCTATTGGTTTTAGTGTGACCTCCATCAGTTCTTTGTTTAATTGATCAAAAGCTTCAAGTGTCTTTTTCTCAAGTGGGAACTACTACATGCGTTGCAGCAAGATAGAGCTCTCGCGGTACGTTAACAAGTGTGGTCAGTATAAGAGGACCAACCACTGCTGATAATGAAGATTTGGATCAACATGCACGAGCATAGTGCCCTTCCTTTGAGCATTTTTTACAAGTAGCTCTATGAGTGGGACAGCAAAGCATTTACGTTTGGCTTGATAAGTCATGGCTACTGCTGGTTTGACTGGAAATTCATCACATACCTTTGAGGTGGGGTGGGGGGTCCAGAATCAATTATCACTGACATTTGTGCTTCTGGGGCAGTATATAAGTCATTATTTCTTTGTCCTAAATCCAGTGCAGACACTTGAGTGTAACCTGTTTGTAGATCTAGGGTTTTATTTTCTAAGAGACACTGCTGTATGGAATGCGAAATTAAGTTGAAATGAAGGTGTTTCTCAGAGCTTCGTTACCACATTCCTCAGCAGTATGATCTTTGAAACTGCAGTTTCTTTTCAGCTTTTCTAGTTCTCTGAAAAATTTGTCCAGAGACTCTCCCGGCCAACAGGCGCCTTGCGAACACTTCATTGGGAGTTTCAATAAATAAGGCATCCAATTTTCTTTTAGCCTTGCCTTTGATATACTCAAATACACTGGGAATTATACAACTCAAGAGAGCCTGGTACTTGTTTGGTATTCTTTCCTGGTAATCATAATTATTATAAAACCCAGGTTGTGTGTGTGTGTGTGTCTTTCATATATTGGATCGGATTTCCAACATTTTTCAACCGATTTCAACAAAACTTCACAGGACTACATAAAATTACCTTGCTGTGGTTTGAGACAGTGCCAAAAATTGGAAAAACAATTGTTTTTGCACGAAATCAATTTGAAAACACAATTAAGAGGCATCGCTGTTGCGAGAATGAAAGGGGGACAACTCATATAGAGTTATACTTATTATAAAACCCAGGTTGTGTGTGTGTGTGTGTGTTCCTTTATATATGGGATTGGATTTCCTACATTTTTCAACTGATTTCAACAAAACTTCACTTTTTTTTGGCAGGTAGTGTTTCTTATTGTCTTGCACACTTTTTTCTTTATTTTTACATTCAGAATGCTTTAAAAATTCCATTTACAAGAATTGTTTATAATAAAATTCTATTCAATCGGTAGACTCATAACGATTGAAAACAATGTTTTTGTTTGAGTTTGACCAGTTCGTAAAAAAAAAAAAAAATAAATAAATAAATAAATAAAACTAATTAAGACATGCGTGTCCGTCAACCTTAAACAATAATCTTTGTCAATTTTATTTTTCAGTCTTTATGATGGTCGATACTTGATCTATCTCTTACTGTTACATCCCTGGGCAACGCCGGGCTCTACTGCTAGTCATATATACATAATCAGGGCTTTATGGAGCCCTCCAAAAAGGAGCACACTCCCTTTTTACTGGAGCAAAGGAGAAGAGGGCTAATTTTATATTCAACCAGAGTGGAGCATGAGCAGCTGTATTTGGGACTAAAGAGCAGGGGTTTTGCGCTCCATGCTTCAAAATTATTTGAATTATTTTTTGTTTTTATGACAAATTTTCATTGCTGAATGAATAAATAAATAAAGTAAGATTTTCTTTTTAATTTACTGACAATTTACTTTTGTACACAATTTTGCCATTATTATTTAAAGAAAGTTATTAAAAATAATTATTATTTAAAGTAAGTTATTAAAAAAAACAATTAAATCATTATGGGTAATAACTTCTGTTGGATTTTCTTGCCTATTTCCCCTCAATATCTGTCCAAATGTATACATGCATATATACATACATAAACACACACACACACACACACACATATATATATATATAAGAAAAAAAAATATGAAAAAACAAAAATCCGAATATCCAAGTATGCTGTTTTAATGTTGTTTCAATGTCGACGTCAGACATCTTGGTCTAGTAGACCTTCTACAGGATATAGTTATTAAAACAATTAAAATTAGATGACATTCAAGTCAACATGAAAAGACGATAGACAAGACTAATCAAAATAGAATAACTGAAATTTTTAAGATCAGTGTTCCGTTTCGCAATACGATCACGTCGGCGATGTTGTGAAAACGTATTCCTAAAATAGAGTATATTTTAAATGAAAAAGAATTTTATTTTAATCTAAAATTTATAAGTATGTTTGTCCAGCATTAATCTTGCGAGAAAAGGGGAAATATTAAAGTCTTTTCATGTTGACTTGAATATCATCTAATTTTAATTATGTTTTAATAACTATGTCCTGAAGAAGGTCTACTAGACCGAAACGTCTGATGTCGACATTGAAACAACATTAAAACAGCATACTTGCATATTTGGATTTTTGTTTTTCCATATTTTTCTTCATACTGTCGGATCTATATCCAAATATTTGCTTACACACACACATATATATATATACACACACACACACATACATATATACATACGTATGTGCATACACACACATGTGTATGCATACAAACACACACATCTTATATATGACAAATTGCAAAAATTTTACTTGTGATGTTTCATCCTTCAAGACTTCAGACTAATTTTGTTATGTTGGTAGGACTACACCTGCACACGGCAGAGTGGTTCAGGAAATCACAGATGACTTTTTTTAATACCTACTTACAAAAATGATGAAAAGAAAAAGACTAAATGAATTCACTTGGAAAGAAAAAAATTATTTAAAATTCTAAAATTCCCAGAAACAATGCCACCATGGACATGTGTAGTTCTACTAATATAACAAAATTAGTCTGATGAAGTCATGAAGGACAAAACAAATTACAAGTAAACATTTCCTACTGGTTATAAAAATTTCTCAACACTCTTCTCAATATATAAGAATATGCTATATTTATGGCTCAATATCTGGGATAGAACATATCTAAATGTAAAATATACTAAATAAGAAAATATAATATTTTGTGCTTAAACACAATGTTTAGGCCTGAAAGTTGCCTTTAAGCATGAAATAGATTGTCATCGCTGGGTGTTGACAGCAATGTTTACTTTTATATAAAATACAAAAATACACAGACTGTTATGAATGCAGATAGCCCAAACATGCATACACGCATATATTAAGGTTAATCTCCGCTTGACAACAGAAGAGGTCACGTGGGAGTCTTGAGTCATTTTGGGGAAGCAGGTCAAAAGGTTAACTGACCCAGTTACCCGTAGCAACAGACGTCTAGACAGAATCTAGACAGGAGACCGACATAAGGTCGTGAAGCAGCAGGAACTGGAATTCGCGCCAAAATGCAGGACACGTAGGAATTAGAAAATTACTTGGAAGTCAGTTGCTGTCTTGTCTTTGAAGGAGCAAGATTCGAAATCGAAGCACTGGTAACTTATGAACAGAAAGATGAGACTCATTTTGGTAATGATGGAACTTGTCTGAGTCATCATAAGCAACTCTGAATAAGAAATATAAGGATGTATATTTCTGTTCGTCAAATCCAAATTGAAGAAGATAAATCAAGTTATTTATCACAGAAGACGCAAGGAAATTTGCACGCTGAAAATACAGCCTGTGTTTGAAGAAAGAAAAGAGAAATCAAGAGAGAAGAAAGTATATATCTCTTTTGCAGCCGGAACGTGTTTGAAATTGAATTTGTGTAAAGAAAAGAAAGAAAGAAAAGAGGAAACGTGAGAGAGAAAAGAAAGGACAATGAGTAAGAGAGAGAACTGAATATAAAGATAAGTAACTATATATTTTGGACCTGTGTTAGAAAGATACACATGCATCCATAATTTTATGTTCCCACAAACACCTTTCCACATGTCAAAATAGTAATATATAAATCCTATCCCATCTCTTTTTTTTGGTTATGCGTTGATTTCTGCATTCGTAGTTATTCATACTTATTTTTTTTATCCGTTCAGGTTCAGTCGAATCCACTTGGATTTGGGCATATTTTGGTATCCCAACACAAGTCTTGTGGTTCATTGGATGCTTTACTCATGCTTATATTTTTCTTTTATTGTAATATCTTGTGTATATGTATATATTAAAATTCTTATACCAAAATTTATTACGCCTTATCGTTCATCCTTGAATTGTGGATCAGTATATGTGTTGAAACCGAAGCAAACCTGGGAAAAGACTACTGTTTGATTATCTCAATCGAACAGTGTTCTTTAAAATATTTTTGTTTACTAATTGTCCATTTGTCATGGTCTGGGAGAGATAGCCCGTATCTCTCCATAGACGTGACAATGTATATATCTCCTGGTCAGCGTATGATTGCGTTATAAATCCATTCGTCGAGTAGGGCATATGACAGAGACAAATAAAGCAGATATTAAATTTTGAACTTAAGCTTCAAAATCTGGAGAGAAATTAATTATAAGAAAACAAAACATACCTGGATTATATCGGTCATCACAAGTCATGAATCCACCATGACGGCAACGTGCATCATTTCCCCATCGATCATTTATGACAACAGTGTTTTTAACAGGACTGCATAAGAAAAGATGATTAATAAATAAGTAATCATGTATACAAATAAAAAGCCATGGCTGTATGCTACAAGTTTGATTGTTTAGCCTGATAAATTTTAGAACTATTTTAAGATAATTAAACATTTAGCAAAAATTCTGAAAACCTTCAAGTTTAAGATTTTTTAAAATCAAAATTTTTTTTCACTGGATTGACATGAAGAGATACTGTATTTTCATCCTAAGCAAAAGAAAGTATAAAGTTACTAATACAAAACTGATATTAATCTCTAATCCATTTCTTCTGTTCCCTGTCAACCTCTTTAAAATGGATGAGCTAAAATGTCATGATGAAAAGTAATAAAAAAAAGTGAAAAAAATAGTAAGTAATAATAAAAAATGTGTATAATGAATTATATTTCAAAGAAATGTTATTGTTATATATCTGATTAAATAAATTACAAACATTATGTCTGTTTATTTTTAGCATAATCCTTTCATATTCCTGAATATTTTTCTGTGTACTACAATCAAATGAGGCAAGAAATGCATCGTAACAGTGAAAATTACAGTGCATTTCTTGCCTCATTTGATTGTAATACATGGAAAATTATTTGTGAATATGAAAGGATTATGCTAAAAATAAGCAGATATAATGTTTGTAATTTATTTAATCAGACATGCCTAAAAGAATTTGCTGCCTAAATACACATATACAGTGTGATGGAAAATTTGGGTTTAATTTAATTAAAAAGTTATTTAGAAATTATGCAAAAATGAAGATAATACTGACATCTCATTTTAAAAGATATTTACCAACATTACACAAAATATCTTGAAATGATATAGAGTAAATTTATTCATTAAAAAAAAAAAAAAAAAAAAAAAAAGCGCCATTGGCTTCAACCACAGCCTCCAGACAACTTCAGAAGCTCCTGCAACTCTTATGGACAGTCTCCTTGAGAAAGGTATAAATCAATCTCTGCTCCCCCAGATATGGATAAATAGTAAGATAGACTGGGTCATATAGCCTTGGGTGGCAACAAGTCTAAGAGAAAGACAACTCTGAATTCAAAACCTCCAACTGTGTTAAATAACCTCACCACGCTGAAATTGGCCAAAAGTAGTGAGTACGGCTACACTCCTGAAGACATGGTCAATCAGTGAGGGGTTCCTCAAAAGGAGTGAAGGCCCCTGGATTTAGGTTTGGATTTGCTTTCTGTCTGATTAAAATAAAAAAGAGTGTATAATACAGAGATGACATTATTACCTTTCATTGTATAGCCATGCCATGAATTTGGTTGTATTGAAATAATTGCTGGATGCTTCCCAGTCTCCATCACCCCAGAGAATATCAGGTTTATATTTAGTCACAAGTTCTTTCATCTCGGGCATCAGTTTTTGCTGGAAAAAAAATTTACAAAAGCTAAATATTTAATATTAAATCAATATATCAAAATGTCCCAAAAACATGCCTCACTAACCACACATTCATTAATTATTATATTTGAATAGACAAATGACAATAAAGCCCAATTTTGCAATAATCATTATTTAACCACACAAACATATATTGTTTATTCCACAGCTTCAGGAGATCAAAATATGTAACTATTAAAATATTGGAATAATTTTGTTTGTTTTTACAAAGAACATCATCTTGAAATATAATAGCTTTTTTTATTCAGTTCATAAATTTATAAATAGTTTCATTGAAAAATGCTTCCTTTTTTTTTTTTCTATTCCATAATTACAAAAGATCAACCATGAAATTTCCATGTGACCAAAAAAAAAAAAAAAAAAAAAATAGTTGAATGATGTATTATCCCAAAGTTTTGTTATCCTTGGAGTCAGCATTCAAGTTTTGTCCTAAATAAAGGATATCTAATGACAACTAAAAGGTCTCCCCCCACAACCCCCAAAGTGATGACTTTGAAAACATACAAATTCTTATTTGTAAATATTGTATTGTAGTTGGTTTACATATTTTGATAATTTTGTAAATTTTTTGATTAAAATGATTTTTCAAATTTATTTCTTATAAAAGGTAAATAATAAATATCACATTGTATTTGGTTCATAAAATTTTACAATCTTGTAAATAAACATTGCCAAGGGAGTTAAAAGTGTATACAGTAATAGTAGTGTCAAGGGAATAACCGTCCTTTTGACACAGCATTTTTATGGGTACAAAAAGGTTTAACAATGCTTGTATCACAGTAAAATTTTGATAAAATTCAAACTTTTGTCAGAATTTTTGAGATGAGGATTTATTACTACATAGGTTATATTAATTATTATTAGTAGTATGTATGTTATTTAAAATAAGAATTTTGATACTAAATTGCCCTAGTGAATTAAAGCATTAATTAAAACATCAGGTTGTTTGATGGTTCCGAGTCCAATACCTGGATTTGAAAATTCACACACACACACACACTGGTTCAGTGGAAGAAGCAGCCAAGTGACACATACAGGTGAAAAAGACTGATGAGTATTGATAGGAGTTATCTCCCCTAAGCATGAAGAGAAAAATAGAAAAATCTATCTCCACTAAAAGATTTAGTTTTAAATTATGAAAACGTTACCAAGTACAAAGACAGAAACCTGAAAAAGGCCAGAAGATACAATAGCTGAAACATTGTAAGTATAACAAACAAGATGAGCTTGCTGGTCCAAATAAAGTTTTTAGGAACAATGTACACAAGACTGTTGCCAGTATTTGTTTTTATATGTAGCTAGAGTTTATACAGTAAATGAAGAAAAATTAAGCCTTTTAACATGCTCTTAAATATTCAGTGAAAGGTAGCTTCTTGGATAGGACTACCTCTTTATGTGTCATGTCCCCCTCAAGATGTAAACGATCATGGCTCTCCACAATTTCCTGTCATTTATAGCTCTTAATAATTTGTTATTTCTCTTAAACCCTGTTCTGCCATCCATTTACAGAAACTCACTAAATACATTATGCATCATTTTCTTTTGTCCCTCTTCAATCTATTGTGAGTATCAGATTTTCCAAGCCCTCTTTCCTTATTATGTGCCCTAGAAATTTCAACTTTCTCTTCCCATTGTTAAGTATGTTTCCTTTTTGTTTCCATTTTCTCTAAAATTTTATCATTGCTCACATATTTAATCCATGGTATCTTCAGCATCCTTCTGGAAAACCAAATTTCTGTTGCTTCGTCTCTTCTCCATCTTTGAGAAGATGGCTATATAGGAGGACAGATATCACATAACAGTTTAGTACTCTTTTCTTTGTTTCTAACAAAGTTTTTCTGTTTCTTAATACTCTGCTTAGCTTTTGGAATGCATCTTTGGCTATCTCAATGCATCTTCTGTCCCCTGTTAAAATACTTCGCAGATTTAAAATTTTTTTTTTTTTTTTTTTTTTTTTTACACTGGTTTGATTTTGGTATCTCCAATTTGTAATTTGCATTTTGGGCTCTTCCTTTTGCTAACAACTATGCATTTTGTCTTGCAATCAATGTTTAATCCTTTCTTCACTACCCTCAGTAGGGGTTTTTATAGTTTTCTTTCTGCATATGCTATCAATACAGTGTCATCTGCATATCTTATGCTAAAATTGTGGCCACCAGTAATGAATCCTGGGAGGACTTCTAATTCTCTCACAATCGCTTCGTTGTATAAATTGAATAAGTTTGGTGAGCAAACACATCCTTGTCTTACACCCTTTCCTATTTATGTATATCTGTTGAACTCCTTTTCTATCCATATGTAGGTGGCTTGCTGCCAGTATAGGGTCTTGATTATTCTAATATGTCAAGGTTGCTGTGCAATTCCAACAGATCTTTTTGACATACTTTATCTCCTTGGAAAAAAAAAAAAGGAAATGAAAACCTAAGTTTTCTGGTTTGCTTTTGTTTTAATAATTCATGCATTAACATAGTAAAAAACAACTCTGACTAAAAAAAAAAAAAAAAAAAAAATTGTTTCTTTTAAAATTTTAAATAGGTCATGCAAATTGATTACACAACCTCTATAACATGTTGTTAGTTCTCATCAGTATAAGAATTTTCTTCAGTTTTGTAGTTTTAAAAATTCATTAAGTAAAAATATTTCAAACTCCTGACTAAAAATACTGCTCACAACTAGTTTTTATGTAGATTTTAAAATTAGAACAATTTGTGTTAGAAACGACACAGTTCAAATAAATTTCCAAAGAATGTCTTACCTTCACATAATCCTGTGTTTGATATCTATTTTTTTTATCATTTAAATAAATAGGATTGAACCATTCATACAAAGAATGGTACACACCAAATTTAAGACCTTTTTCTCTTACAGCTGCAGCTACCTCACCTGAAATCAAAATGATTAATATACATTATAAGGGATTTTAGTTTAAAAAATAAAAGTGTTTTCATTGGATACAAATAAGAAGTTAAACTGGATCCTTTCAAGATTACCACTGTTCCATCTCAACTGAAACATTATTACAATATCCACACATGCAATTTAAAAAAAAAAAAAAATTGCTCCAATAATGCCATAATATCCACAAAAAGCTTTGTCATATAATGTTTACTTATTCTGTCACTATAAATATTCTTATTGGAATGAATAATAAAATAATTTCCAGAAATTTCTAAAACCAATTTTGTAAATATATTCCATGAAACTCCAACCAAAATCGTAAATCACAAATTAGCATTAGTCATGTGAAGACACTAACTAAAACCTCTAGTAATGGGTACCATGGAGCTGGGTAATGGTTAGTGAGATGGTCTGGTTGACTATTACTACTGAATAGTGAATTCAGTCCTCACCAGGTGGCCTATAGCTGTGGCTATCAAAAAGCTTAGTCAATATGGTATTGCTTTTTGGCCTCTCCATGGGACCTGAAGTAGAAATTAATAAAAGTCCAATTCCAGAAAACTGTCACCCCAAGCAATTTTCCTCAAAGTGTGTGTGGAGGTGGGGGGGGGGGAGTATCTCCAGTCAATCTTAATGGCTTGATCCATAAGGATAATATTTGGCATAGCCTACATATATGAGAGCAGGGTTCCACATTAAGTGTGACCCTGTGTCAAACCTATCATCGAGTGGTGAGTAGGTAAACAATAACAGTAGCAGCAGTCACAGAACAGGACAGTTTTATATAAAAAAAGAGTTCTCCCCTCTTTCTTTCTCCTTCCTCTGCTTTTGACCTGATCACAATTTTTTTTTTTTTTACTCTCGAAGTCATATACCTAATCAAACAGTATGGACTGTCAATTAACTTCTATCATTTTCTGAACACATGTACACATTAAGTAAATATATTTACCACACACAAAAACTAAACATTGGTTGCATTATTCCTGTGTACCTTTTTGTGAATGAACATGTTTTCCATGCAACACAGAACTTTAAACACTACTTATATAGTTCATCAAAAATAAATCTGTCTTATTAACATGACTTTCATCTTTCAAATTATGCATCTAAATATTCTCAGTGATTTAATAGAATAAAGATGGAGTCTGAAGAAAATACAAATAGCAAAATTAGATGTGCCTTAACTATTTTAACAATGTAAACAAAAACAGATCATTACATTGATATTTTTATTGCTACTATGACAGCAACAAAATTGACAAAGACATGACCAAAGAGTAAATTAAGTATTGAATATCATAACTATTTGTATTCTTGGTCTATCCTAAATGGAGAAGCCGATGACATCATCATTACAAGTTAACATTGTTTATATTGTCTGTTAAGAGGAGACAACATAATTTGAAATTATAAAAAGATGAAAAAAAAAAAAAAAAAAAATTCCCTTATCAGCTTTCAGAATTAAACAGACCACATAGTAAAGTTACAGGTGGTGGATGTCAGTGTTGAAGTGAAAATCCTTTTACATGTATTCTTATTTGATTAATCTCTGATAAAATATTCTTTTCCTCAAGTATGCTTTCCTTATTGTAATAAGGACAGCATACTGAATGATGAAACCTGTTAAACAAACAAAAATAAAAATTCTTTTAGTCAGGTGTGTTGAAATGTTGAAATTCATAGTCCTCTGCAGAAATACTCTAAAAATAAAGAGCACAGATACTACACTTTGAGCATAGACACAAGAGCATTGAAGAAAGATCTATAAAGTTAACCAAAAAATTTTGAGGTTAACTTGATTGAGTAACATTTTGTTCTATTTTTTGCAATCTTAGAGCAACATCATAATTCCATCCTCCAAGAACACTTTAAAAATTTTTTTTAACAAAGAACTGTGCTAGGTGTCTATTGAGAATTTAACTTTTTCAATAAGAGAATTCTGTAAAGAATTAAATAAATCACAATCAAAAAGAGGCAACATCTGGTGAATACAACAAATGAGTGAAAGCTTTTCAGCCTGGTCACCAAAATAACACAGAGTCTAGCATTATCTTGATAGAGTATTATGACCTTTCTCTTAACTAATTCTGGATGGTTTTGCAAGCTGCTGCCTTTACTTTGGGCTAATTGAGAAACACTTGTTCAAATCAATTGTTTGCTTCAAAAGAAGGAATTCATGGTAGAAAATTCCCTTCCAATCCTACTATATACACACAAGATCATATTTTTCAATTTAAGACCTGCTTTTGATATGGTTAGTATTGGCTCATTGCACTTGTCCCATGGTTTCTAGCTTTCCATATTGTTGTAAAGCATCCCCTTTTCATTACCCATTATAATGGGTTTTAAAAAATGAAACATTTTCATGACACTTAAATAGTGAATTGTACACAGAAATAGTGAAGTATGTTCTTAATATTTAGCATATGTAGAAGCTGTACATCAGATCAAAGAGACTAATATAAACAAACTGGTGCAAATTTTTTTCACTGCTTGATTTGGTTATTTTTAATATATTGGCTATTGTCTACATTAGATAATATTTATTATTTTCAAGTAATATCTTGATTACTATCAACATCAACTGATTTACCCAAATGAGCATCATTCAGCAAAAAATCTCTAGCATAAAATTATCAGTCAGTCGCTTCTCCCTAAATAACACAAATTATTTTTTTTTGGCATCTGAATCACATTTTTATCTTTTTTAAAATAGAAAAGACAAAATACTAAAAATGCACTAATTTCAATATTTTCATGATCTTTTTGAAAGAAGTTAAAAACTAAAAGCACTTAATGTCATCTCACAAAAGACAAGCTTTTTGGCCAACCCAATATATCAAATTGGTAATAAGAATATTGTAGAAAACCAGATTGTCCTTCTACAAACACTTATGACTAGATTAGATGCAGGAATCTTTTTATAAGGAAAATGAAATTTTTACAAATATTTTTATGAGCTGACAAAAAAGTAAAAAAAGTTATTTCAAAATTTCTTGTTACAAGTAATAAAACCAGTTGGCCAGTGATCATATCTTTAAGTTGCATCTAGTCAACAACATCAAAGTGGTAAGTGTTAAATATTTTCAACTTTTTAGATAGAAACAAGGGAGATGAAAAATAAATGGAATGAATAATGTTAATGAACATGAACAAAAATTGATAACGCTTACAGGAAATTTGAAACATATTCTAAAATATTCACACTTACCTACAAGATCTCGATGAGGGCCAACATCTTCAGAATTCCAATTCCAAGAATGTTTAGATCCCCAAAGTGTATATCCTTCATGGTGTTTTGAAGTTAAAACAACATACCTGTTAAAAAGAATGTTTAAATGTTAATGAAAAGTCCTTGTTCATATAGTGCAAAAATTTAACATCTTGACAAGATACAACTTTCTCTAAATCTCACTTCACTTGTGGAATCCTTTCAGCTTCTTGCTTCCAAGTCAACTTTGATCTTCAAAAATTTAAATGCAATGTTATTCATTATCTTCGGTCTTATTCTTTTATTGTTATCTCTCCTTAATAGGTTTTTTTTTTCTCATTATCTAAGATTCAGTTTGCCCATGTATATTAGTGACTTTATTGCTTTGTTTGAGGTGAAATAATTAATAATATATATATATATATATATATATATATATATATATATATATATAGATCCTCAATTCCGTCAATGTTTGTAACAGATTTACAAGGAATAAGGATACAAATACTAATGATATAATTGAAAAGTGTTTTTATTGTCAATTTGAATCCAAATTTATTATCTGTAGCATAAAATCAACAGTGCTCAGTCAAAGAACATCCATAGGATATTTGATGAATACCTGTCCATTATAAAAAGTTTCAAAGTCATTTAAACGCATGCATTTCTATAGCTGAAAAGAACAAGAAAGTTTAAAATATAAACAAATCACAAGCGTATTTGCTGAAAACAAATAATATCTTGTGGATGTTCAAGCAGATCCTTGATTTAATAAGTGTATGAAATTCTTAAAAAAAGATAAGAATCCGATGTGCACATGTGGGTAGTTTAACAACTATCACAAGGAAGTGGAATTGATGAGTCAAGTTTAAATTCTAGCCTAGTCTGCTGCATTCACTTTTGCACAAATGCCCTTAGAAAGACATAAATCCATTTCTTCTACTCCCAGCCATGGGTTAAATAACAAGATAGACTGGTTGCCAGCCAAGTCTAGAGCCCAGTCTAAGAAAAGAAAAGCACTAAATTCTAAACTGTAGAGAATGCAACAGGAAACCACTCCACTATCTTTCCCCAGAAGGTATAGCAATCCACAGATGATAAAGAAAAGGAATATGTGGAGAGCCATGATCCCCTATGTCCTACAAGAACATGTCATTTTAAGAACAAATAAGTCCTAACTAGTGAGGTGATACTTAGCTGTCTAAAGAAATAAGGTAAAAACAAGTTTTCAATGTTTCTATCGAATGGTTTTCTTTAAATGAAAATAACTTATTATTCATGTAAATAATTTTTTTTAAATTCCTTAAATTTAAATTCATCATCACAAGAAATGAGGATTTGCTTTGATATAAGACATGCTCAAGTGAATATTCTCAAGTTCTGGTTAGTCAAATATTTGGTCTCAAAGAGAGAAAACAATAAAGGAATTTTTTTTTTCATTGCTGACTTGTTACAGTCAAGCCAGAGGGGTGAAATTCAGCTGGCTGAAAAAGAAGTGTTTCTATTAGATGGAATATATAAGTTAAAACTTAATATATATAGTCAATCTTTCATAATTAACTTTTTTTTTTTTTATGTGGTCTGTGACTAAACCAGCTCCCTGCTCCTTTTCAAAAGGGAGTGAGGAGGGCAGTTAGCAATCCTACAGAATGAAATATAAAACCTATAAAATGTTGGAATAACTCAAAAGAATTAATGGCGAGCTAACTAGAGGTAGTGTCTCAATAAAGTCACCATGGAGAAGGCAATGAAAAACCAATCCACTAGTCTTCTTTCTGACTGAAAGCAATACAAAAATAACAAAATGGTATGCAAGGGATCAGCTTCCATGATTCCTGCTCAAAGGAAAGCTAGAAGAAAGGATTAATTATTAACTATAAAAAGACAGAATGCATGACCATCAACAAGAGAGACAGCCAAATGTGTGAGCTATGAATTGGAAATGTCAAAATCAAGCAAGTACAAAAATTTAACTATCTGGGTAGTTTAGTAACAGTCAACACAAAATGTAGCAAAGAAATCTGAAGGTGCATTGGAATAGTGAAAGATGCCTTCCAAAAACTAAACAAAATATTAAGAGAAAAAGAATAGTAATTGAAAAAAAAAAAAGCAAAGAAAAGTGTGCTGAACTGCTACGTAATATCAATTCTTCTATATGACAGTGAACACGAGACAATTTCCTTACAGATGAAGACTCAGAGCATTAGTGATGTGGTTCTACAGAAGGATGTTGAGAATACCATGAACAGAATATATGAACAATGAGAAAGTTTTAAATAAAATGTAAATTAAAAGAATGTTTATGCTTAAAATCAGACAGAGTTGCAATTTCTGGAACATATAATGAAAAAAAAGAAAAAAAAAAAAAAAAAGAAGGCTGTGAGAATTTAACACTCACAGAACATAATGAAAATGAAGGGGAGGAATAGACAAAAACAGTAAACTACCTAATGAATTAATGTGAAAGGATAGCTGAACAGGGACAAAGATATATGGTAAAGAATTAAGCATTGTTTAAGCATGAGTGACAGAAAATTGTGGAGAGCTATGATTGCCCACATCCTGAAACCTTTTTAGCATGTTAATTTCAATTTTGTAAGTTAGAATTAATGTTCATTCATCCAGAAAGAGTAAAATGTGTGATCTGATAAGTTCAATAGATTTATCAAACATCTGACCATGATAAGCATTTTTATGAGAAATTCTTGAGTTGGCTATCAAGATAAATCACTTGAAACTTTAATTTATTCAATATAATATAAAATAAAGATCCAAGATGTTAGTCATTAGTGTAATATACAAATATATACACATAAGTGCATTTAATACACGTCACAAGCATGTACAGATAACTAGTCATAAGGAGAGGTACATGTATACAAAATCAAAAGACAGGCCTTTTGCAAATGCATTTATTAATCTATGATAGGATATTTTTCCCTTTAAAGTATAGCATTCCATTAATGTACATGGAAAGAATACTAGGAAGAGAAGGAACAATCTCTGAATGTCATACTCAAGGAACATAAGACATATCCAAAACTGAAGTAAAAATGTCTGGTAAGAGAGAGGGAGAGACCATATGTGGAAAGAGAAGGGAAGTTTAAACACCCATTAGCATAGTATAAATAATGTCTCCTAGATTTAAAAAAAGAATTATTATAGAGACGAAAGAGTTAGGGTTACAACTCAAAGATCGACTGATTAAATTGGAACATAAGAATATATAATGAAGTTGCATTTTCATCTGGCATTCTTATACTGTGATCAAAAACAGATATTGTAAAATACTGTGGGTTAGTGTTAATGATACTCTGGCTCCAAAACCACATGTGATCTCAGGGTGACCATCTGATGAGTGCTTTATTGGAAAAGATAGCTTTTGATTTTGTACTAGCATATGTATAAAATGTTGGCTTAGATATCTTGAATCTATCAGCATCCTAAGACACAGGATGAAGTTTTTATTCACTTCAACATTGTATACAAGGATGATTACAACTGTTTGCTAAACTTTGACGAGAACCTGGATGTAAATTCTTACTTCTAAAAGTGTTTTTTTTTTGTTTTTTTTTTAATCATTTCACCACAAGTAAGGCGATAATGCCACTAAGATACAAGGAGTTACTGAGGGTGAAAGGTTAAAAGAACAGAATTAAGGAAGACAGAAGATGGTGATTGATATTGCATTTAAATTTTTGAAGATTGTAGGTGGCAGGGAAGCAAGAAACTGGAAGGGAGTTGCACAGGCAAGACATGCAAGAAAAGAAACTATTAGAATAGAACATATGGTTATATCTAGCTAGTTTGGCAGTAAAATGATAAGATCTAGTTGCCAATCTATTAGTACACAAAGTTATACAGTGGAGATACAAAGGAGGAAAACTCATCAAAACAAATGCCATGAAAATATTGAGAGAAAAGACAGAGAGAAGCCATGTGATGGGAATAGAAAGTAACTCAAGTCAAGATGTCAGGTCAGATTACATTACAGACCCTTCATTGGATTTTGTCAAGAATATGGTGATATATAGCTGCAGCACCAGGCCAGATATGGCAGCAATATTCGATGTACAGATGAATGGTAAATTTATAAATGTTCAAGAGATTCTAACACAACAAATTGAACCAACTTTTTTAGCAGTTTCAATTGATTCAATATAATCACCACTTCATATCAGGGGAAAACATGAGCCAAAAAAGGTGTAAAGAGTTGCTTTCTTAGAGATTAGCATCAGTCATGCTGAGAGAATGCAGAAAAGGTTCTCTGTTGTGATTAAATGAAAGGAGTTTTGTTTTGGAAGCATTAAAATTTACAAGTCATTCCTTGTCCAAGATAACCACTGACTGGAGGTCATTTTCATCTTATGTTCGTCTTGTCTGGTGTGCACATATCCGCACACTGAAAGCACTATCTCTTCAGAAAAAAAAAACAAAAAAAAAAAAACTGGTGTTATATAGCTCTCTCAGCTCCAGACCTACACTGACTATTGGCTAATACCTGCCCAGTATTGTTTATATGCAAATAGTCAGCACCGTCTACTCTAAATAGAAGTTTTTCTCTCAAATGTCCATTGTGGAAGAGGACATAGCTCCTGGTGCTTACAGCACCACATGCAACCAACTCAGAGTTTCTTATCAAGTTGACCCAATTCTGCTACAAGCTGGATCTACTGGATCTATCAGATCTACTACTAAGACTGGAGCAAATAGCTGTGTCATCAGCATAAATATCTAGTCAGGAACTGATGACATCAGGAAGGTCGTTGATGAAGATACAAAAAAAAAAAAAAACACAACGACGGCCCTAGGATAAACCATAAAGAGAAGCCTGCATTAATGAGAAATGATCTAGAAGTGTGTCCATTCAACATGACCTTCAATACAAGATTTGTTAAGGTTTGAATTAAGCCAAAATATACCATAATCCATGAGCTTGTGCCACCATGATAGACCCTGTCAAATGTCTGAGATATCTTAAGCCATAGCCTGAAATGAACATTTCTATGATTTTTGTAATTGTTTATATTTTTAAGAAATAAAAGATTCTTCAATGATAAACAATCCAAACTTAGACAAGACATTTTCAATATTCACATTGATA